CACAAAGAATAAGAATGTTACCTTTTTTGATCAAATAGTCTTCTAACTGACTTTTCATCCAGAGTACTTTTATGCTACACCCAAAGGATGAAATATATTCAACTTCTACCATTGGAAGAACTATTATTGATTGCCTCTTACTGGACCATGATATCAGATTGCCACCTAGAAGTCGACAACTTCCACATGTACTTTTTCTTTCTATATGATCTCCAGCATAGTCCGCATTACAATAACCTACTAACTTATATTCTTTTGATTTTATATATATCAAACCAATGTGAAGGGGTGAAAAACACAAGAAGGGGGGGTTGAATTGTAAAACTGGAAACTTAAAGCAAATGACAAGATATTTTTATCCTGGTTCGTTTGATCTCAAACTACTCCAGTCCACCCGTCAAGGTGATTTCGCCTCTCTCCAACGAGGTCTTAATTCACTATATTCAACTGAATACAAATCTGCTTTAACAACTGCTAAAGCCTTCTTGATTCAAACCACAATCTGGTTTGTCAAGGCAACACTTTCTTACAAAGGTATAAAATAATGTGTGTGAATGTTTTCTACAAAAACTATATCACAACTGTGATGTTTACACAAATGAAGCTTAGAATACTAGGTTGCTAAACACTAATGGAGTATCAGAGTTTGTTGGTTTAGCAAAACTGGTAGATGAAGATTATTGTTCAGCTTTGTGCGTGTAGAGAGTTTGGAAGCATTAGCCATTATAATCTTCAAAGCCTTGTTTATATAGCACTTGAGAAGATGAACGTTGAAGCAAATATTCTTGATTCAATGCTAATAACAAGCTTTCCTTTTTGAGCAGATCTTGTCTAGAATGATGCCGTTGGAATTAATTAGCGTTCAATGCACAGTACCGTTGCTTCTTCAATGCACGTTCTGGCTTGGCTCATTCTGATTCTGCTTCGCTGCTGATGAACTATTGTGTTTCTGTATCAGAGTGTTTTACGCGCAGTTCTGTTCATCAAGCTTCAGCATGTGCGTGAGTTGATCATCTGATCTTGATGTTCTGATTCAGCAACTTCTGACGCTGGTGTACAAACTCATATTCTGATGCAGAATAATTGATCTTGCTTATTTTAATCAGCATATCTGCAAGTCAGAGCATAATATTCTTAGGCAGCATATAGTTCAAACATGAAATATATAAATACTATTTCTTTTCACTTTGTTATCATCAAAACTTAAATATAGGGTACTAGATTCAAACATTGTTCTAACACAATGTTAGTAGTACCTTTCAAATATATAAAGATTCTTTTAACAACAGTTAAATGAGACTCTTTAGGATCTGATTGGAGTCTAGCACTTAAGCATACACTATATAGAATATTAGGTCTAAAAGCATTCAAATATAGAAGAGAATCAATCATACCTCTGTGTAACTTCTGTTCGACCTTCTTACATTCTTCATCCTTCTCAAGAATACAAGTTGGATGCATATGAGTCATAGTTGTCTTACATTTTGATAGATTAAAATTATTTAGAAGCTCCTTCATGTGTTTTCTTTGATGAATGTAGGTTTCTTCTAGACTTTGATTAATCTGGATTCCCATAAAGAACTTTAGCTCACCCACCAGACTTATTTCGAATTCTTCATGCATAAACTTATAAAATTCCTTACAAAGCGACGCATTAGCAGAACCAAAAATAATATCATCCATATAAATTTGGACTACAAGAATACCATCTTTAAAAGATTTACATAAAAAAGTTGTATCGACCATCCCTCTTGTAAAATATTTTTTCAAAATAAAATTGCTTAGCCTTTCATACCATGCTCTAGGAGCATGTTTCAGACCATACAGTGATTTCTTTAGTTTGTAAACCAAATCAAGATTTTGATGATTCTCAAAACCGGGAGGTTGATGAACATATACTTCCTCTGTAATGTATTTGTTCAAGAATGCACTCTTGACGCCCATTTGATATAAAATAATGTCATGATTAACTACAAATGAAGTAAGAAGACAAATAGGTTCTAACTTGGCCACTGGTGCAAAGGTTTTAGTATAATCAATTCCTTCTTGCTGACTATAGCCTTGTGCAACTAGTATGGCTTTATTTCTTACCACGTCTCCTTTCTAGTTTAGCTTATTTCTAAATACCCATTTAGTTCCAATAATGTGCTTTCCTTTGGGTTTGGGTATAAGATCCCATACATCATTTCTGGAGAACTGAATCAATTCTTCCTGCATGGCCATATTCTACTCAGAGTAGAGAAGAGCTTCATTGATAGATGTTGGTTCTATGACATATACCATACGAAGAAGATTTTATTCATCTTGTTTGAATGAGGATCTAGTTCTGGCAGGTTTAGCTTTATCTTCCAGAATCAATTCTGCAAGATGTGAGGTTTATTGCCTATGCTTCCTCTGGGGTGTTGGAGTGTTAGTTGCTTCTGGTTGAGAGCTGCTCAAGTCTTTCACCTCAAAGTCTTTTTCTTAGGAGTCTTTGTCTTTAGAGTTTGAACATGTGATTACAAGATCTGTAAATTTATCAACAAGATTTGACTTTTCAGGGTTAAGCTTATCATCAAACTTAACATGAATTAATTCTTCAACAATTCATGTTTCAGTGTTGTATACTTTGTATCCTTTTGAGTGTTTAGAGTATCCTAACATGATACACTTCTGTGCCTTCTAATCAAACTTGTTAAAAGAGTCTTTTATGTTGAGCATAAAACAAATGCATCCAAAAGAAATAAGAAATTATGGGCTTTCTATTCTTCCATAATTCATAAGGAGTATTATTCAGAATTGGTCTTATAGAGATTTTATTCTGAATATAACAAGTTGTGTCAACTTCCTCTTCTCAGAAGTGCTTTGCCATATTAGTCTCATTGATCATAGTTCTGGTCAATTATTGTAGGGTACAATTTTTCCTCCCTATAACTCCATTATGTTCAGGAGTTATAGAGCAAGAGAAATAATGAGAAATGTAGTTTTCATCAAATAGTTTTTCAAAATATTTGTTTGAAATTTCACCATGATCATTTCTGACTTTTATAATTTTAATAACTTTTTTATTTTGTACTTATGAGCAGAAGGTAGCAAACATAAAATATGACTCATCCTTGTGTATTAAGAATTTTACCCATGTCCATCTGTTGTAGTCATCTGCAATGACTAATCCATACTTCTTACCACTGACTGAGGCTGTTTTCACAGGCCCAAATAGGTCAATATGTAAGAGCTCCAGAGACCTACTGGTAGAAACAACATTTTTAGCTCTGAAAGAAGTTTTTGAAAACTTACCTTTCTAACATGATTCTTAAAGAGCATCTTGAGTAAACATCATATTTGGGAGACCTATGACAAGATTCAACTTGATTATCTTTGAGATTATTCTCATGCTAACATTCCCTAACCTTCTGTGCTAGGTCTGTTGACATTCATTTAAAATAGAAGACATTTAACATTTTGACTTTTTAAATCAGAAAGTTTGATTTTGTAAATGTCATTTTTCCTCTGAATAGTACAGAGCCATCCTTCTGATTGATAACTTTATATGACTCTTGAATGAAGATAATATCATAACCATTATCACTTATTGACTTATGGGCAGGAGGTTATGCATTAATACTTCAACTAATAAAACATTAGAAATAGAAAGTAGAGAACTGTTATAAATTGCTCTTGAGCCAATGATTTTCCCTTTTTGATCTCCACTGAAACCTACAAAACCTCTAGGCTTGAGTTCCAGGTATTGGAACATATGCTTTCTTCCTGTCATATGTCGAGGGAATCCAAACTCTATGTACAATGACCGGTATTTTGACTTGGCTACTAAGGACATCTGCAACAAAGATTATCTTATCTTTAGGTACCCATATCTTTTTGGGTCCTTGAAGTTTAGTTTTCCCATAGGGTTTGTCAACCCATGGTCTTTGTGCATAATCAGTGTCATGTGTGTGACCATAGATGAATGAGAATATAAGGGTGTTGGATTAATCACTATGTCATCTACATCTTTAGTGTAAAACATTTCACCTCTCGGTTTGATGTAACCCATACCTTTTCTCCCATTTCCACTTACTCCATAGATTATGGAAGCCATCTTGCTTCTATCTATGTGTTTGACTAGAAAATTTTGAAAAGAAGTTTCATACTTCTTTTAAGCACATTCAGAATTCATAGGAGCATTGATGAAAGCTTCTTTTTCTAAAAGATCACTCTTACATTTGAGATCATAGTTTTTAGTTTTAAAACGATTAATTTTAATTTTAAAACCATGTTTTCTTTCACCAGCTCGCTACGTGTTTCAGAATGAGTTACAAGAATATTTTTCAAAGAATTGCACCTTCTTTGAAGATGTTGGTTCTTTTCAAGAATCTCAGCTAAGGAAGTTTCAAGTTCAGAGTGATATATGTGAAAAAATACCACTTCATAGTCTGATTCTGGTTGTGACTCAGACTCTCTTTATTTTTTAATCTCCCTTCGTCCTCAAGCACCTTGGTTCAGCTATTTTGCCTCATACTTGGGTGATTTTCTGGAGTGTTTTGTATTGGTGAAACCTATCAATCTAAGGCTCATCTTACCTTTTGTTTGTCTCTATCCCCAGTGGGAAGTTATCGCTCTTGTATAGGGGTTTTCGCAAGTACTGGTCCGAAGTTCATTTCTACTAGCCTATTTCTTTTTACCACTATGGGTTAACTCTTATGTCTCCCTAGGAAAGGAAGATGAAATAGAATTTATATGTGTGGTATCAGAGGCTCAAATATGAAGAATGATTTAGTCCTTGTGAAATATTTTATTTTCAGCAAAAGAAAATCCAAACAAATACTTACGTGATAATTAATGCGTATGATCATTCTGAGAGACAAAAATTCTTTGGTGAGGATGGGGATTAGGGCGCCCTCTTTTTTTAACAATGCAACTTATGACTTACAGATAAGAAGAATAAATTGGGTAAATTGCAGAAAGCTCTGGCACTTGCCAATAATCATAGCCTTACAATTGACATATCTGTCTGGGTGCCGATGACACCTATTATTGCTTCTACTTCTACTCTGGAGGCTCGAATTCCTATTGTAGTGGTTGCCCCGACAGTAGTTGAGACTACAATCCTGGTTACGGCTCCTAAGGTGGGTTAGTCGGCCACAGTGGTAGCTGGTTTCTCTACTCAGAAACTCTCACTTTCTCCTTTCCCCGCCAATTGGAGTCGTGCTGATAGTTTGTATATTCCTATTGAAAGAGGTTCTTCAAAATGCGCTCGCTTATTAGAGGGTGGCAAGCAGGAGGTTCTTACTCATTTTCTAACTTTCTGCTATTCTTCCATCCCGATTACCTAGCACCCTAGAGGAGTTTGTTGTTGTCGTGGCTTTTGAACACCTGGATTTCTTCCGGGGTTTGTCTATAACTGACAGGCAAAGCCTTTTTGTAAATGCTTCTCATAACTTGTTCAGGGACATGTCCCTTATTTCTATTGTAGTTTCTCTCTAGGACGATGTACTGGGCTCTGGAAACCTTTTAAGGGAGCGAAGTGAGCTGAGGGAGAGGTGTGGAGCCTCTGAGTGTAAATTTTAGATGTTGAGAAGAAATTGGATAAACTACGGGAGAATGCTAATGATGTTAACTCTTTGTAGGAAGAGGTAGATTGGTATGTTAACTCTTTGAAGGCTTTCCTTGCTGATGGAGAGAAACACTATAAGAAGGTTTCTGAGGATACATATGAAGTATTTCAGGCATTTGAAGTGGATTAGAATGTTCTTCAGCAGAAGAAGGATGAATGGGCCATTGCTTTGAAAGATCGAGAGGTGGAGGTGGATGTTGCTTGAGAGAAATCTCTAGAATTCCTTCAATAGGTTGTAGAAGCCATATGCAGGGTATAGGGTGAAATGTTGGAGCATGCACGAGTGTTTTGTCTCGGCCTCACAATCATCGATGACCAACTGGATCCTTTAGCAGATGCTTATGGAAAAGATGTCGGAAGTGGTTCTGGAGCTTTGGAGTCGGGTGCCAATGTCTGAGAGACTTTTTGTTCTTTTTTCTTAGCTTTATCTGCTCTTGTAAGATTTGATCAGGCCTTTGTGTCTTGGTTTGTAAACAATATTTTTATATATGTATTTCATTCATTACCTTTAGCATGCTTGTACTTTTGTTATATTATTTCTCCTTATTCAACCGTTGTTTTTGTCCAGGTGGGATCCAAGGAGAAATAGTATTCAAGGAGAGCTAGTGCTTGTTTTGGAACCCTGCAATTCACATAATTTATTTGCTACAAATAATAGTAAATGGTATTTTCTTAAAGTGTAAATGACCTTAAACCTTTGGGGATTCGTGTATGGCTGTTTTGCTTGAGAGAATGATGTATTAAGATATATGTGTTGTCTTGATGAAATGTCGAGGTAGTAGCGTGTTGTTGTACTCAGAATGTGCTTGCACGAAGGAGGCATTGGTATAGTTTGACGTGTCTGTATGTCAGATTAGAACTGGTGAAATATGAACTTGGCTATGGGCGTTTATGCTCTCAATTGTACCTGTGAGTATTTCATGTCAAACTAGATAGACATGACTATGCCTTAATTGTAACACCCTTCTTAAACCCCATAAATAAATAACAAATAGATCAGAGTAATTCACCATTCAAGGGTGTCACATCTTCATATAAAACATTATAATAAAACATCCTACTCCGTAACACGGGTTTTCATGATTTTAAACACATATTCCTTTAAGAATATCTTCGTTAACTGAACATATTAAGATGAAAATAATATTGCAAAACATCTTTATTAGTAATTCACAATCAAATACCATCTCTTAACATGCCTTGTGAGTTTATACTCTAAAACATCTTAAAACAATGAACGTTCTCAAACAACATGACATAAAGAACATATAGTTCAAATCAATCAACCCTAAAACCCCGATGTTACATATCAGAGCAAGATCCTCGTATTCAATGGAAAGTAAATAAACTCACTACGAAGCTATCCTATAAGCTTCAACGGACTATTCCTGATCACCTGCAAGTTACCCATGGATAGAGGCAACATTTCAAAGCAGAAAGGGTGAGTAATCATAATCATTATAAAAGACATAAGGAATAAATATAGTACTCACACTTTCACAACATTATCAATACAGAATAACACTTATCATCAATATCACTTAATCAAATCATTATGCAATGTCACATATAATGTAATGCAACTTAATGGACTCATGCATGTGGTACCAAAACTTCTCTGATGACTCAATCATCATTTTCTCAAAAGATCCCCACCAATAAGATCGATTCCCATAAAGAACACTATGGGGTTGATTCCTTCACTAGACTATCTTCCTATCATCATCACTGGACCGAAGTCCTAACATCACTAGATCAATGTCCTAACAACATCACTGAACCAAAGTCCTAACCTATGCCATGAATGCATGATGCACAACAACATAATAAACATGACCACGACTAGTCAAAACGCATCATCATCCATGAATTCATCACATACATCATAATATACAAATCATCATCATATCATCATAACAACAACATAGTATCATCACAATATCAACAACTCACCATATAACACGCATTAATGTAACCCAACACAGGGAAACATAACTTCATCATAATTTAGGTACTAGAAATATACATCATATTACTCATTTTATTTCACCTAGTTAAAGTTCATCACATTATCTATTCAACGCTTTGAACGACACCTAAAATCGAGTCAAGTTATGGCACTTTGGAAATACTACTGATGTCCATCGCCTAAAGCTTCGCCCGACGACATGGGAACAACAACCCACCAATTCTTCTCTAACCTCCACCACCCGACGATACATCTTGCTCTCCTGGCGACACACCTCTCTCTCTTGCATCGCCCGACGATGACGCGAGCGACACACTCCAGTAGCTCCACTTTTCTGCCTATTCCTTTGCTTCCAATCTCGCCCGGCGATGACCAAGCAACATCATCATCGCACGACGACGCCACCTATCGCCCGACAACACACACCAGCCTGTGTTTCCCTTCTGCGACTTTTGCACTACACCAGTCTGATTTTTGCAAAATTTCACACTTATACATACCCAAAACTCATCTAAATCATCATGGTTTCACAACATCACAATAGTACATCATAATAAACATCATATACATCATTCCTCATCATTATAACATCAATTTGTTACTAATTTCATCAAAATTATTGTGATATCAAATTCAAATAAAAACCTAACATAACCTACAATTATCTAAACCTTAGATCAATTATAATAACAATGATAAACACCCCTTACCTTAGATTATAACAACAAATATATTCTTCTTAGTGTTCTATCACAAATCCTTTTGCCCTATCTCTCTCTTCTTTTCACCGCTTCCTCCGAATCTTACGATTACACAAAATGATCATTCAAAACTCCTAAACCTTCGTTATACCAAACTTACCCCTTGGACCCCTATGGTCTTCCACTATTGTCCTTACTAATTCTTCCCAAATGACTACTTTTCCCTTATCACCTCTTAATACCAATATTACTCTATTTTATTAATTAAAATAATTCTAACCAATTATTCTAATTATTCTAAATTATAACAAATTTTCTTAATTCCTAATAATCCATATAACACATGAACATCACATAACCATCATAATTTTAAAACAACAAAGATCATCACAATTACTCACCATAACAAATTAAGAATTTAAATAAGTAACTTAATTAATTAGGGGTGTTACAAATCTCCCCCACTTGAAAGAATTTTTTCCCTCGAAAATTACCTGACAAAAACAAGATTGGATAAGACTCTCTCATCTGATCCTCATATTCTCAAGTCCAACTTTTTCCAGCTGGTCCACCCCACAGTACCTTTACTAAGTCAATGTCCTTGCCTCGTAATTTCTTCCCTTCTCAACATTCTATTCGAACGGGTGATGCTTCCACAATCAGGTTATCTCTCACCTATATGTCATACATTTGAGTTGCATGCGAAGGATCTGGAATGTATTTCCTCAATTGGGACACATGAAACACATCATGAAGATTCATGAGTGATGGAGGAAAAGTAATCCAATAAGCCATCTCACCTATCTTCTTCGATATCTGATATGAACCAACAAAATGCAGCGTAAGTTTTCTCGACTTTAAAGCTCTACCAACACTGGTTACCAGAGTAACTCTCAAAAACACATGATCATCTTTTTGGAATTCAAGTGCCTTCCTCCTCTTATCATGATAACTCTTATGACGACTCTGAGAAGCTTTCATCCTCTCTTGGATCATCTTAATCTTATCAGTCATTTCCTTCACAATCTCAGGTCCGAGTACAATACTCTCACCTGACTCATACCAACACAATGGAGTCCTACACTTCCTACCATACAATGCTTCATATGATGCCATTCCAGTACTAGAATTTTAACGGTTATTATAAGCAAACTCAATCAACGACAAATGACTATCCCAAGCTCCTCCTTGTTATTGAACACAAGCCCTTAGCAAATCCTCTAAATACTGGATAGTCCTCTCTGTCTGACCGTCCATCTGCGGTTGATACATGGAACTCAAACTTAACTTTGTACCCAAAGCATTCTGTGAACCTCCCCAGAATTTCTATGTAAACCTCAGATCTCTATCTGACACGATACTCGAAGGTATCCCATGCAATTTCACAATCTCATCAATGTACATCTCAGCTAGCTTCTCTATACAATGATTAATCTTCATCAGTAAGAAATGAGCCGACTTAGTCAATCTATCCACTATCACCCAAATTGAGCCGTTACCTTTAGCAGTCTTCGGTAAACCCAACAGGAAATCCAAAGAGACATTGTCCTATTTCCACTCTGGAATACTCAAAGGTTGCATAAGACCCATAAGCTTCTGATGTTCAATCATCAATTTCTGAAAAGACAAACAAGCGTAAACAAACTTAGCGATCTCCTTCTTCATACCAGGCCACCAAAATAACTTCTTCAAGTCTTGATACATCTTCGTAGCACCGAGATGAATACTCAACCCACTTCGATGTCCCTTTTAGAGGATACTCTTCTTAAGTTCTGGAATATATGAAATACACACTCTATTTTTGAACCTCATTACACCATTATCATCAACCTTGAACTCACCTCCCTTACCTTGGTTAATCAACACCAACTGGTCAACAAACTTCAAATCATATTTTTGACCCTCTCATATTTCTTCCATTATACCACTAGTCAGTTTCAACATTCCTAACTTCACACTATCAGGAGTCTCTTCACATACTAAGCTCATATCTCTAAATTTTTCGATCATCTCCAACTCTCAAACCATAAGTATTGACATGTGCAACAATTTCCTACTCAATGCATCAACAACTACCTTTTCTTTACTAGGATGGTAATTCAAATCAAATTAGAAATCCTTCAACAATTCAAGCCATCTTCTCTGCCTCATATTCAACTCCTTCTGGTCAAATAAGTATTGCAGACTCTTATGATCACTGAACACTTCAAATTTAGAGCTGAAAAGATGATGTCTCCAAATCTTTAACACAAACGCAACAGTTGCTAGCTCTAAGTCATGCGTAGGATAATTCCTTTCATGAATATTCAATTGTCTAGAAGCATAAGCAACAACCTGTCCATTTTTGCATTAGAACACCACCAAGATCCATCTTCGACGCATCACAATACACTACAAAAGCATCACTTGGATTAGGAAAAGTTAATATCAGAGCAGTCGTCAACCTCTTTTTCAATTCTATGAAACTTTCTTCACACGCAACATCCCACACATAAGCTTGACCTTTTCGAGTTAATTGAGTTAACGGTAACACTAACTTAGAGAATCCTTTAATGAACCTTTGGTAATAACCTGCTAAACCAAGAAAACTTTGAATCTCAATCACAGAATTCAGAGTCTCCCATTGCAACACTGCATCAACTTTAGAAGGATCCATTGCAATTCCACCGCTAAAAATCACATGACCAAGGAAACTTACTTCCTTCAACCAAAACTCACACTTTGACA